CGAGCAAACTAATCGCAGACAAGAAAATGATAAAACAGATACCACGACGCAAATCCCAGACACAGCGATTTCGAAGATTTCTTTGGCCTAAGCCTGTTCAGCGGGATAAACCAGGCGGAGGAACGCCTCTAGCTCCTCAGGGGTCTTGCCCTCCAACACCAACTTTTCACAGAATTGCTTGCGCTCCCTTTGTAACTCTTGTGCCATTTGGCGAGTCGCGGCGTCTCGTAATTCTTGACGGTCCAAAAAATACCGCTCCTTATCCCATGACAAAGCCGACATGCGAGCATCGGCCTCAACTTTCATTCGATCCGCTTCAAATTTTTGACGCCACTTGTTGGCTTCCGTGAGCATGTTGATCTTTGCCTCATTCCCTTGCTGCATAACATTGGCGAGAGCATGCTTATGTTCCTTGCTATGCACATTTGCAGGATCGATTGATGGCAGTGGGTTCAATGACCTTCGAGACAGAGTCGATCGAGAAGTCCCACGCCCCTGGGTCACTGGCGCATCGATTGTCATGAGTTCATCTCCGGAACTGGCGTCTAAGGCGAGTTCCTCAGCAGTCAGTGCATCCTCTCTCGCTGAACGTCTCTGAACTGGTTTTCGTTTGGCAACCTTCGAGCGAGCTTGCGTGAGAGGGGCTTTCGCCGTCGTAACTGTTTCGTGGTCATCTCCGGAACTGGCATCTAGATCGGTTTGGGGTCGAATCGGTGGTCTAACTCGGTTCCCTTTCAACAGGTTGGCCTCTGCTTCCGCGGGGACAGATTCTTGTCGATTAGCAAATGTCTCGGAGACGTTAGTCTCTTTGGGCGTTGGAGGTGGTGAACTAAAATCATCGTTTAAAAATCTACGGTAGTGTGCGTTGAGGGCTTCAGGATCACTTTGGTTTTCTTGAACACCGGAAGATTGTGGATGAGGGGTTTTGGTTTTCGGTTGTTCAATCAGTTGTTCTGTATCACCAAACGATTGAGTCAGACAATCAAGGTACATCTGTTACAGTGAATACTGATACTTACCAGAAGATTCCAACCGTGCGATTTGAGCTGATTCCACCGGATGGTCATGACCATCAGTGGTATCACTGTGGGTATCCTCAGTGATACCCACAACCATTCCTTGAGCTTCACCTTCGTCGCTGTCGTCGTCGGAAGATTTGGGACCTACCCCACTGTCGAGGATCCCAAAAGGAGTGACATTTCCTTTATCACGGAAAAGCATATCCATTTCAGAGTAAAAGGGACACATGGATTCTAACAATTCTTCCATGGTGTGAATGCCGTCCGCCACATTCTTTGCAGAGAGCCCGCTACCCGTCTTAAGACTGAAATTCTTGGCAGATACATACTTCGATTTGTACCGTTTCAGGCGCTGGTACAGGATTCGACCATTCAACCGCATGTTGGTGGTGTCGTGGCGGATGTTATAGTTGTTATTGAGCTTAATCGCGAGAGGGTTCAAAATTGATCTAGGGTTCATAGGTAGACCAGACACCCTAGTCTGGCTACCACCACCGAAGAGCGTGTTGCGGATTTTGGGCTTCGACAGGTACGAGATAATGGTCTGATAGTCGACACGGTCCAAGCTCGGGCTGTCTCTCGTTGCTTTCGAAGACGCGGTGGCCAACGAGTTAGATCGAACGGGCTGAGATGCAAGGCGCGATCGCCTGACCGCTGCTGCTGATGGTCTCGAACCAGCTGGCAATCCCGAGGCAATCAGATCCTCCTCGATCTGCGCTCGTGTTCGACGCGTTCTGCGGGGTGCCTGCACATGAACAATAAGCATAGGTCAGCTTATCCTGTTTGGATCACCACAAGAACGCCACACATCATATTACACACCTTCCCAGTTTGTTGAGATGGAGGCGCCATTGCGAGAGATGATTGTATGACCTTGGACGATACGAAGACAAGAAAAATGGGTGTTTGAGAGAAACTGAACTAGGTCGATAAGGCGGATGTGACCAAAAGAAGAGAAGTAAACGGGATATTTGTGAAGATCTTGTGTTGAGAGCCAAATCGGAGAGAGATTGAATCGAGAGAATCAAAACTATGTGGAAAAGGTGGATGCGAGGGCAGAAATCAAGGAGAATCTGAGTATTGAACATCTGATTCTTCTTGTTCAATTTGTTTGTTAATGAAAGAGATAAGAAGGAAAAAAAGATTGTTTTTTTAGAAACAACCGTTACATCCAGGTACAGACCAAGAAAAAAAATTAATGGAAACAAATCCTTTTTTTGGGTTTGTCCGTGGCATGTTTTTTTTTTGGGGAGCAAGTTATAAAAATTTTAATGACAAATAAGTGACCGCAAAACAGTGAACCACCTCTAGAGGTGGTTCACTGACTTATAATTTAAGTTAAAATTTAAAGGTCCCGGAGGGATCGTAAAAATTAAAAAACTGCTGTAAAACCTCTACTTGAACTGCCCTAATGGCACAATCAGAATCTGATGGAAGCTGTGGTGGTTTCCATTGTGTGATTTCCTGGTGACATTTCTTCCATTCACATAGCCAGGCCTAGCCCTAAGAACTGGCGAAAACCGACATTTTTCGTCACAAACATTCCACCAAAATGGCAAATTCCGACGTTTTTCGTCACAAACCTAGGTAAAATCCGGGGCCGAATTCCGACGTTTTTCGTCACAAACCCCAGTAGGAGCATTCCTGGGTCCTATGGAGGATCAACAAATTGAAACCTTCAGATATTCAGAAAGTCAGAACAGTTTCTGACTTTCTGACGTTCTGAAAAAACCTTGGAAAATTTTCCAATTTTTTTCTGAATTTATATTTGTATACCATAATTGCATGTCTACAGACTACCCTTGTCAAAAAAACTTCTAAATGTTTATTCACATCTTTTGAGCACCGATTCACTGAAGACGGCAGTGATCTATAGTTTATCATCTCACAGGGATATTATCTTTAATTATCTTCTTGAACCCTATTTACCCTGATTGATGTGTAATGGTATCACATAATCTTGGAACACCAGGAAGCTCAGGATCAAGATTTGCTTAAACAGTCTTGGCAATGATAACAAAGTAAAAATTGATCACAAGTGTAAGATACTCAAGTATGAGATTTTGAGTGAGTTTTGATGAGGATCAGAGGGGATGAAATACCCTACTTGACAAAAACAAGACGGTTTTGTTGAATGGTAGATGGTACCCAAAGGCACGACGGTACCATCGATTTCCACGGATAAGCATATAGGTAACTTAGGGCAAGACACGTGACTATCCCTATACCGAGGGATAGCCGTACATGGTTGGACGCATATAATCAGGGTCCAATGGAAAAATTTCCATTGACTCCTTTCTGATTATCGCCAACTATTCTTTCCCCAAGTTCTCCCACGCGCTTATCCTCACCTCTCTCGCTATCTCTCCACTCTGCTTCTCAGAGTCTATTTCACTCGAAATCTTTTTTGTCAAACTTAGATCAATATTACCCAGCAAGCGTAGTTTAAGTCATCCGCAGTTAGTTCTACCTTATACTCATAAAATTACCATCAAGAAAGATGTCCAACCCCAAAGATATTGATCAGTTCGACACTCAAATCAAGAGAACTAGCGATAGATTGCGTGGGGGTTCCAATTCACCTCCTGAGATACAGGACAAGGACGCCAGCCCTGACGACAGCACGCCTCAAACCAACACCGGAACAGCTCCTACTTCCTCCACCAACGGGGCGTCAGGCCAAGGGCGCAAAGGAAAAACCACCGGAAAGAAAGGTCCCTCGCCATCGGGAGCCTTGAAGGACGCAAACCCCGGGACCAGCTCAGCTCCTAATGCTGGTAGCACCCAATTGTCGCAAACGGCAACCGTAGGCAACGCCGGAGGAGGCAGCAGTTCAGACCCACCTTCCGCTCCAGGAACCCTAGCCTCAGGAGGTGTGGCACCCGAACCACCTAAAGGGACGTCCGCTGGCGCTCAGGCGAGCGCTCCAGGTGCGCAAGGCAGCAACTTGGCACCTAATCCACAGCCTCCAACCCAAGTGTCAAACACTACGCAGGCACCAAGCATTCAAGCGGTCACGGCTGCGACTGCTACACCCTCCGCTCTGATTGCACCTGAGATCGTGAATAAAACTGTGATGAGCAATGCACAATGTAAGCGTCGAGCTCCTTTACCCACTAGTTGATGCCGCTTGATGCGAAGCCACTCGATGTGATGCCATGCCTATAACGTGATGCCTCCTCATGAGACGGCGCGCAGACGTTTTGCAGGACAGTACTAACCTTGGGTCCGTCCAAATCTGGTGATACATGTAGTGACCGGAACTACTAGCCAAGCCGTTCAAGCCAAGTTTATGGCAGGCACAAACACCATCCTGTCTCGAATCGAAGAGTGTTCACCTGACGCAATCAAATCCTGGTTGCAATCTAAAGGTTATAGCCTGGTCCAAATAGGTCCAAGTGTTACATCAACAGAAGTCAGCAAATCGAATGAGAAAGACAGTCTGGTCACCGATTCACCTACAGGCATCAGGCCCGAACCCTCTAATGACGGCGCTTCGAGTCGACCCGCGAATGCTGCTTCGGCTGCACCCTTGGCTGTGCCAACGCCAAATGCAGTGACCACCGCTCCATCTGCAGAGGCCAACACCACGCCCTCCCAAACAGAGCAGTCTCGTAAACGTCCCATCACGTCGTCCTTGGGACCCTTCGACCTTACCACAGAAGAGGATGATCCAGAGCCCACGAAAACCACCTCCACTAACGTGGTCAAATTCAGCGATGAAGGGATAGAGGCCCATGGTCTCGTCGCCCTCCCGAAATATTTCGCCCCGAAGATGGCTGCCCTTAACGCCTACATCCCCTTAACTGTGTTTAATCCGCAATGGTTAAGACAAGATCTCCTTCAACAATCTATTCGTAGCCGTTCAGTAAAAGAGAAGTTAGCGGACACTTACATCGGGCTCACCGTTCCCCTTGAATGGAAGATGACCTTTGGCGAATGGGTGGTAGCCTTCGATTGCTTCATTGCGTACTTGGAGCATTATAAGTGGACAGAGTTAGCGACTAAGTTCAGGGTTCATAAGGATAACGTCTTCGCTATCAAACGCGAAAACTCCAACTGGCCAGTCGCCTTCAGATACGACCTAGCTGTTCGAACGGCCATCATGACCTTCAGACTCGCAGACGGATCCGTAGCTAACCCCGCTATTCGAGATGCCCGCCTAGAACGTGAGGCGGCACGCGAAACTGAACGCATGAAAGACTTCTTACCAGCCTTTCGGGAGATAAATCCCTATGCCGATGGTGAAATCAAAGCTTCCATCGATCCTATCACCGGGCTTGACAGCGGGACTAACTCCTACGGCGGAAACTCCTTCAATAAGCCAACTGCTCGTTCGCAGAGTTTCTCTAACCACAACAACTTCTCGAGCTTACCTGTCTACGAAGGCCCAGGTGGTTCCTCCTCCAACACCAATGATGATAGAAGAAACGATTATAAGAACCAGCGCTCCAGAAGTCGTCGTGGCAGCTGGAACGGCAGCCGCAACTTCAGAGATCGTAGCCCTCAGAGGCGTCGATTCAATGGCGGAGAAGCTTGGCGTAGAGATAGCGGCCGTGAAGATCGTCGGGGTGATGACAGAGATAACTCCAATGCTGCTGGAAAGGCAAAGTAAGCCTCGAGTTTAACGCTCTCGGTTGTTGTACCTCGCTGTCCCTTTTTCTGTCCTATACGGAGGGAGATACGCACTTTGTATGTGTGCGTCCCAATCCGCCCATGTGTTGCAGCCTGGCAGACCTATGTGTACACCTCCTACTTGTTGGGTTGTTCCCGCCGAAGGTGTTAGGACCTTTATCTACGCCACACTTGTCACTATCTGTCTGGATGCCTATTTAGCGATGATGAAATAAGACATCGCCACTTCTTGGATCAGTATCTAACTTGAGTTTGCCTTCTTGCCTGAATTTAGTGAGAAACGGAGGAGAGTTGCCTCACCTAGAGAGCCTAGTGAGGTTGAGGAGGAAGCGAAGCTTCCAGTCCAAGTCCCTCCAGAGGTCATTCGACCTGACAATTCCGTAGTGAACGCGGATCTCTTGAAAATCTATAGCAACTCAGGTGCTTCCTTCGATCCCAGGTGGCCAGGCGAGAAGGTGACATGCGGTATGGCAATATCCAGGTGGAGACTTTTAGCCAAAGAATGTGGCGTGCAGGAGGAAGCCGAAGATGTGATTGCAGGTTTAATCCATGGATACCACCAAGGTATACCAAACCACACTCTAGGTTTTAGGAGGTGGTTTACACCGGAAAATCACCAGTCTGCGCAGGCGGCGGCAGAGAAAATTCGTAATACGTTAGCGAGGGAACACAAGGAGGGCCGTATCTTCGGTCCATTTACCCACGAGGAAGTCTTTAGGAAGATCGGTTTCTTTCGCTCGAGCCCTATGGGAAGCGTTGTTAATGGGGATGGGTCCTTCAGGGTAATAAATAATATGTCCTACCCAACTGATAACGAACAGACGCCTTCTGTAAACAGTTTTGTGAATAAAAAGGATTTCGAAACTCAATGGGATGACTTTAAGGTCCTGGCAAGATTCTTTCGTACCAAGAAAGGAAGGTTTCTGTTAGCCATTTTCGACTGGGCGAAGGCCTATCGTCAAATTCCGATACATCCTAGTCAATGGCGTTACCTGTTTATAATGGATTTGGAAAACCGTTTGTGGTTAGACTCACGTGTGCAGTTCGGCGGTGTTGCTGGTTGCGGGGTGTTTGGTAGACCCGCGGATTTATGGAAGAAGATTATTCAAATCAAATTCAAGTTGTGCGGAGCGATGCGTTGGGTCGATGATAATCTCTTGATTAAAGACATCGACAATGGGACAACAATTGCCGACGTGGTAGCCTTGAGTAACTCAATGGGCGTAACATCAAACCAAGATAAGGTACATGAGTTCGGCGACGAGCAACGCTATATTGGATTTATTTGGAACGCCGCAGAACGCACCGTGCGATTACCGGCCAAGAAGTTCGAGGAGCGTATGGCACAGCTAAACCATTTCTTAACACCAGGAGAAGCGTTTACTTTCAAAGAAACAGACCAATTTGTAGGGAGACTAGTCCATACAACTTATATAGTGCCAAACTTACGCTGCTATATGCCGTGCCTATACAAGTGGAAGGCAGAGTGGAAGGTGCAGTCAGCAAAGCGGAAAATCCCTGAGGACGTTAGAATCGATCTGACAGAATGGAAGGTTACGTTGGATTCCTTCGAGGCCAGAAGGTTTGTACCTGACGTTGACACTTCTGATGTGGGGTGGGTTGGCGATGCCGCGACATCCTTTGGGATTGGAATTTTCGTCGGTAACCGCTGAGCCCAATTTAAATTCAAAGCGGGCTGGAAAACTCACCTAAGGTTGTCAGAGAAGGGCGGTATAGCTTGGGCCGAGACCGCCACGATACGTCTAGGTTTGATGGTAGTCAGCAAACTTCATAGAGTCGAAGGAAAGAAGTTTAAAGTACTGACTGATAACACTACATCCGAATATGTGGTATTGAAACATCGTTCTCGAGATCGGGCGGTAAACGAAGAATGGAAGAAAATCCAGCGTCTGATGGTAGAACTGCACTGTGACATAGTGGCTGAGAGAGTGGCGTCGGCCAACAATGACGCCGACGAGCTGTCAAGAGGGATTGGGAAGATTCTTCCCCGGGAGGATGCAGTTGAGATTGAGGTCCCGATCGACTTAGAACCTGTATTGAAACAAGTGTTTCAGAAACAGTCCGTGGCCACAAATTTACCCGATCGGTTGAAATGAAATACATTGATTGTCTCTACGTACCAGAGAATCCCTTTGCCCGTGACGCTCTCTGCCGTGCGAGTAGTGCTCCCAAAGACTTCGCATCCTCCTCTGTTTCTACAGTCCTTTCCTTGCGTATTCCGTTCTTTCCTGTTCACGTCTTCAAATCAGTATAAATGGAGTTTCTAAGGGGGAGAACCGAGACAGTAACCTACGACCCGGTGAAAGCCTACATCCTTTATGGCAGCTGGGCAACAACCACGATTAAGCACTATAACGCGGGTGTGTCGAAGCTGGTTACCTTCGCAGAAACCTTTGGCTTAAACCGGGAAGCACTCCTACCAATCCGTCCGGAGTATTTATATCAGTTCGTTCTGTGGGCTGGTCCTAAAATACCTGGTGACTTATCGGACTCAGCAACGACACCGATCAAGTCGACTACGATCCGTACTTACCTGTCTGGAATCAAAGCGTGGCATCTGTACCACGACTGCCACTACCCACACGAAGCAACACCGAGGGTGGAATTGCTACTGACGACCGCCAAGAAATTGGACCTCGCTGGACGTGAGAAAGTTCCGAAAGATCCCGTCCTAGTCGCTCATATCTTCACGCTCTTAGAAGCTCTGACTGGAAGCAACTTGGAGAATCAGGTGGCCTACACGGTGGCCCTCGTTGCGTTCTGGGGCATGGCTCGCCTAGGAGAGCTTCTCAAACGCCCAAATACGTCTGACCAAGTGAGGGTTAAGGATATAGTCTGGGATCCAAAGGGCGAATACGCAACGATCCGGATTAGAGCAGCCAAGACAGCGGCAGTTGGAGAGGTCCAAGAAATTCACTTACGAAAGCAAACTTCTCTACTGGACCCTGTTAGCGCCCTCCGCCGCCTGATCGACTGCACTCAGGCTACCGAGGATGACGCTCTCTTCTCCTACCCAGTCGGCAAAAACAAATCTCGCCGAACCCTCACTAAGCCTAGAGGACAAGCTATCTTTTCTCTGGTCTGGAAGTCTTCGACGGAGTCAAAGCTCACGGGTCATTCCTTTCGTGTGGGTGGCGCCTCCCTGCGTTGGAACCTGGGGGTTTGCATCGAGGACATCGTCGCAATCGGCCGCTGGCGATCGAAGGCGTATCAGCTCTATCTGAGGAAATACAGCGACCGAGAGTTGGAGGAGACTCGCCTGTTACTAGAACAACTTCGTATTACGTAATGAATGCGACTTGCCTATTTGTCCCTGAGTGTCTTGTTTGGGGTCTTGGACTCGACCCGGCCCATAGTAGATGGGGTTTCTCAGGCTCAGGCCTATGGCCCGAGTCGAGGGGAAGAGCTCCCCCATCTACCCGGCCCGGTAGTCCTACCCCCCTTAGCCACCACCGGCTAAGGGGCCCCCCCCAAACAACCTAGAGTTTCCGTCAAACGAGACTTTGGGTTAGTCTAGGACAAACTGAGGCTTGACAAAATATAGACTGATGACATGAAATGTCCTTACCCACACAACCCCCGTGTGACACCCAACCCGAGAGATTACCATATGAGAGAAGAAGTGGATTTGATGAAATACTGGTGCTTGCAAACTCTGGGGCCTCAAGTTCGCCCCGATCCCGAGTTTCAGTGGACTCTGGCCCCGAAGGACCTGTATAATTCGAACTCCTGCGATCTGAACGGGGATCTCGAGGGGCGGGCGGGGTCGGGGCAAGTCTTACATTTCCCGCGCTCCGGGCGTCGAGAAAGAAGTGAGGGTTGCCCAACCACCAGCTTTGGGGATCTTTGAACTCATCTTTCCTTCTTTGCTCAACCTCATCCCTTCTAGTTCAAGAATGTCTTGGGCATCGGAATTAAATTCAGATGCCCAAACTGCGTAGCACATCTTATACAAAAGCAGATGCGATAAAATCTGATAAAATGCTTATCATCAAAATCAGTAATGTCTGATTGAGTAAAGTGAATATATTAATTTAGACAAGTCTCAGGCTGTCTCAAACGACCGCAAGTTACGATGTCAAGAAAGTGATAAGCAAAAAGATTACTACATGAATGAAAAAGAAACATAATCAAGATGATGGTAATGATAGCTTGGAACGAAAAGTTGCACACAGCATTGCAGATATTTGGTACGTACAGGAAGGGATCATACGCAACTAACATTCGCATTGTCGAGAGGGAAATAGAAGCACGAGAATCTATTGAGATTGATCAACAGGATTGATGAAGTGGGTCCATTAAAGCATCATTATCCAAAAGACTTTCTCTATCCAACATACTTTCACCATCTCCGGCTAAAACACCCGGTCTTTCACAAAGTTGTGAAAGGAAATCTAATGTGTCCATCATCTCCAATCCTGGTGGTCGACGAACTTGACCATGTCTTGTACTTCGGACTGGACCTGTTGAGTCCGTTGGTGGTGGTTGTAGTACACTTTCAAGTTGATCAGGAAAATATGAATGTTCATCCAACATTCCACCAAAAGGAGGTACAACATATCGTGGACCGTAACTAAAGTTAACAAACTCATGAGATATTGGACTTGTGAAGTAAGTCTCGTCTTCCGAAGCTATCATATCAGCGGAGCTAGATGGAGTCGGAAGATTTTCGACAGTCGTCGGGGTTACCAAAGAATGTGATAGCCCAGGAGTTATCAAGCTGGTGAGATGACCCGGTGACTTGAATGGGGTTCGAGGAGACCAGGCCTTGGATCGACGGTTCTGTGTAGGTTCGCCTCTTAGCGGCGATTCCCCCAACGATGACAAATCCACGCGCGGAACTTCTGGGATCCCCTTCTACATTATCAAACAATTGTGACGCTCGGAAAGGAGTTAGTCAGTTATAGACGAATAGTAAAAGTAGGGGAATAAATGACTAACCGGCATCACTTCTTCGGTTGGTATTTTTGACTCAACCTCGACTTGCTTGCCAGAGTTACGCCAATTTGAAAGCTCGCGAATCTTTCGTCCCAGTTTGAAGCTAGGCATAACACGTTGATGAGATGTTGAACCCTGGGGTGGGACATCTGTCGCTTCCTCGGGTGATAAAGGCATGCTCGGAAACTTTGAATAAGCATAGTAGGGTATCAGTAAAGGCAGAGTAAGAGGTGAGCAAAGACGGTCGACTAACAGCACTACTAGGCCTCATGTAGGGAGTCAAGAAGACGGCTTCATTGGCCTCCTCATCGGAATATTGGTGTATTATGCGCTGAGAGAAGTTCTGGTTAATTGGAAACCCAGCTGGCTCTCTGATAGGGACCTTGCTCTGAAAGAGGGCAAAGATGCCAACAATGAGAACGACTTTAAGGTCAGAACTAATTGTTGAATATAAATGAAAGAAGAATATACATACGGATCTTTGTGCATTGAATACCTTCAGGGTAGATGACATAGGGTAACCTAGAACAGGTGTTGCCTATCCAAATCAATACAGAATGATTCAGACAAGTGTATTGTTTCAGAAGCAAAAGGTAAACGCTTACATCCACTTCATCCATGCCCCATGGACCTGCCTTGAACTCCTGTTCGACCTAAGGATGAAAAGAGAAAATAGATTGGCCTTCTTAGAACGGCTGAAACTGTAAGACAGTCACGAATGGAGTTCAAGCTCACCTCAGTGTTAGACGGTCCTGCTTTTGCATTGGTTCTTCGAGACTTTGAAGCTAGCTTGCCCAAAGCTGAGGCGAGTTTGGCACGAGTAGTGGATTGAGTAGTTGACTGATTCATTTTGCAATCGGATTGAAAATAGGGGTAAGTATAAGTATTGGTATTTGGAACTATCAAAAGTTTGGAAAAGTGGGAGAATTCCGAGAAATAAGCGGGCAGTTTGTTTAGTTGTAAGTGTGTGCGTTGTGTTAAGAGAGGATTGATGAGAAGCGCACTCAGTGATGGCAGCGAGAAGGGCTCTATTTATATGATTCACGATGAGATTGGCTGATGGACTGATGAGCCCCACATTCCTCGCAATTCAGCAATTCGGATCAGCAGTGGCCAAATGTTGACATATGGTCATGTTACGAATTATAGATGTTCATGATACAGCGTATTTATCTATTGAGGTCATCTTTTCCGCCTTGATCGAGCGTCCCATGGCATAAGGTACGAGCGTTTCAAGAAGGCACAATCAATCTCTTATCCTCTCCTTCCTGAATGCTGTTGTTGATTATTCCTGCTCAAGAGTATCGAACATGAGCCTTCTGACTGAATCATTTCCCCGGCCTGTGCACAGACTTTTCGAATCTGAGTTTTCATTTCCGGTGAAGATCAAAAAGGCCTAAGGATGTAATCTCTTGCGAGTCTAAGCATATCTGGCCGGTCGTCGATCAAATTGCTCGTGCGGAATGCCCTAACACTTCAACCAGCGGCGTGATTCTGAGGATGTCTCTTGAAGTGAATGATCCGGTCAATTATGAAATCAGGATTATCTATTTAGGTATTATGCGGTAGGAGAGATGCTCGAAAAGTGAGAATATGCATCTTTCTGAAGGTTCTTGAATCACACGTGCTATTGCAACGCAAAAAGACTCTAGCATTAGATACTTCCCAAGATGATTTCTTGAGTCTCATACCTGACAATCAGTTTACTTGGACCAGATGAAACTCGCTGTATCGAACCAAGCACTCGAGTTACACTGCAGCTGAATGTATCTGTGATTAGATGTGCTGGGATCCTCAGTGTGAGGACCTTTCAGGCTTGAAAATGTGCGCTTCAGTCTATTTGCACCGGTCATAAAGAAATTGGACGTGATCCTGCTCAAGGTCAAGAGTAACTGATTCCTCAAGATACCACTTGAATGAGTGATAAGTAATCAAAAGGGCCAGAAAACGAAAGCAAACCCAAAAAGAAAATCAAAGACATCTGGAATATCCATTGGTAATGGCACATCTTGATCTGGTTCCCACCTCAGCACCCAACTCTGGAGATTGGAATCGGATAAATTGAAGGCATCTTTGCAGACAGAAGATGAGAATTTGAATAACATAGTCGCATGGGAGTATTTTAAGAGGAACTATAGGCCTCTGAAAAAGCATAGGTCGAAATGAAATAAAGAGTCACAAGTGTGAATGCAATTCGAGAACGAGTTGATGACATTCGGTCAAGAGATGAGCTACGAGTTCACGTTCGAAAAAGGAGCGAAGCGAGAAGGAATCAAGAGCAACAGCTTTTTTGGCCGGCAACCGCAGGCTCCTGGTTCTCAGCCTTTTTACACGCACAGTTGGCGCATTTACAGGTACCAGGTGGACAAACGCATTTCTTGGCGCTTACTTCTGGGTCACTGATTTGCGAAGAGAAGACGAAAATCAGTGGATATAAGGTTGGCAAACCGCGAGATAACCGAAGTTGATGAATAGAGGATTCGATACTGACTCGGTGGTTGAAGGGCAAGCACAACCAGTTTCTTTGTTACAAGAACATCCGGCAAGGTTTCCATCGGAGCAAGGCTATAACAATTCAATCATGAGAATCATGTGATCGACTTTGGAGTGATATAAAGATGAGACTTACGGCGCAACAGCAGGCACGGGTTTCGCCACTCTCGAGCTTGACATCTGGGCAACCACCTAGAGAAATGTGATAATGTAACCAATTCAAGAGATCAGTTCAAAAGCCGATATAGGCTTTGTGAGAGGAAGAGGTAAGAAGGTAAAGGGGGATGGAAATATGAGGAAAGGTTTACAGGAAGGCATGATAATGTGATGGATGAATGTAAAGATTAGTCGAAGTATCGATGATTTTGATGGTCAACAGGATGGTAAAGAGCAGATAGCGGATGGTTTATAAACTGAGACATGATGATTTGATTGAGTTATCACTGATCAACTTTCCAAGCAACCGAGACTTTCATTTCCGGTTATGCGAATAAATTTCTATCGCTCGGCTTTCATTTCGTTACCTTGAGCTTATAAATCCATGATGTCAATTAACTTACTGAGGATTATTATCAAATGGATCGGTTTGAAAGGTTTTACGGAATTTAAACAGAATTGGCTGATTCCACTCTTTCAATTCATCCATGATTTGGTGGGGAATTGATTTCGCGTGTGCCGCACAGCGAATCAGGCTTATCAACAAAAGTAGAATTGTGATTGATGGATAATCCCGAATGTTTCCTTACTTTTGCCATCTGCACTTTACTCTGGAAAATATAATGTCAATCGCAACGGTGGTAAAGCGATATATACATCAATCAAATTGATCATTTTGACAAAACAACTCATGGTTACTTACCAGGTTAAATCAATCGATTCAATCTTGTGCACGAAGATGACCTTACACAAGTCTTAAGACACACACCATCCAATCCAGTAATGTTTGACGAATCGAAAAGATCTTTCCATGAGGAAAACAAACCTGAATCACAACCAGATGATTGCAACTGGCCGTGGCCGAAGGAACGACGTCATGGGTGAGTTCCATCGAGACCCGAGATGCGGTGGATGAGACCGAGTGAGAGCGTAGGACCGGGGGAAAACTCGGCCCCTCGGGAGAGAGCACAAACTGTGAAAATCCTCATCCTCACGGTTCTGCACGCATTACTCGCTCATACACCTCAAAAGTTCAAAGTCACAAATCTCAAAGATTTGAGCTGAAAGCACTTCTAACAGGGTAATCTACATATATGATTTCAAAAACCCGTCCCTCCCGCCCTACATAGGGAAGATGCTCTAGTATATTATATCAACATTTTGAATAGTAAAGCAAAGTAGAAACAAAGCCGAAAAGGAATAAGTGAGAAAGTGAGAAACAGCGGGGAAACAAAGAACTCTTGGGCAAGCAAGAAAAGTTCCTCGGGCCACCAACCCACGGTCACCCCGCCCGCGAAGGTCTTTCTCAGAATCTGAAGAAACAAGACTGGATAATACAAAGATATGTCCACGTATCGAAAAAACATTACAAGATTTCATAGCTTTTAGTTAGCAGGAGGAGAGCTTCTCAAGACCTTGAAGATCTGTTTGATGACCTTTTGAGGAACATGTTTACGAATGTTTTCTCGAAGCACCTTTCCACGATCCTGAGCTTTAACTTTATTTGTATCAATCCAAAGCTCTGTCATAAAATGAGATTGTGGTAAACTTGATTTTTGAATGGCTGCAGCTCCTGCGGCATCTTGTTCAAGTTTCTTCATTATCTCTGGATCAGTTTCATGTTTGTTATTGATGGGATTTGTATCAATTTCAGGTCCCTTTCTTTCTTTCAAATCTTCCAACTGATCAGCTTTAGGAGGTTGTGGGGTTGGATCTACTAGCTTTGGAGCCTCATCAACGGGTGAAACTTTTGTTGACTTGGATTTATAAATTCCAAAAAAGTTCAAAATCTTCTTAGAAAACTTTTTCAAGATCTCAATCACCTTTCTCATTTTAGCTTTGAATTGACTTTTAAATCCTTTAATCTCATTGTTTTTAGTCCCTTCAATTGTCTTCACCAGGGGTACTTCATCCTTCATAACCTGAGTTACAGTTGGTGGCGGTGGTGGATTTGATTCGACCTTTGGTGAAGTTTTGATTCCTTTTTTAAGGTTACTTAACTTTCTGCTCATGATCCTGAGATATTCCCCTTTGAGACTATGACCTCCTAATTTTTTAGCCAGCTCCTTCTCCATTGCTGCTATGGATTTAGCGCTCATGGTCCCATCTTCCTGAAATCGACCACCATTAATGGTGACTCGAATACCGTTCCTTGTATAACCTGTTTATAATATGAACTTAATGTGAAATTCTATTTTATGTTTGGAAGATGATATAATCATTTCAAAACTGACCTTCTGGTGATCGACCATCTGGAATCACTTTTCCATCTGGTCTGGTAGAGACTTTCACAGCCACTAAGCCTTCATGTGATTGTTCTAATGGCTGTACGTCAGATACGAATTCACTTGGTGCATCATAGAAGACTGTGATGTAAAGGCTGGATTAGTATTGTTTACATCATGAGATCATCTCAATGAAGATAACCAAGATCGAAGTATGTTAAATTTGAAAGTACACTCACCATCTTCTGCATCTGAATCCGACGCATGATTTAAACCTGTTCAATACCACAAAGATCAGGTTCCCGATAACTCCTAGTTGGGTTTGGATTAATCATATAGATTTCATGGAAAGAAATCTGACCTTGGGAATTATCTGCATTATGAGAAACTACAGAAATCTCTGTTAGAATTGTTTCAATAGAAAGATGGGTAGTACGGTCAAAAATTATGATCAATGCAATTGTGCTCACCATCTGAAGTTTGAGGCACTTTGCCTGATTCAGATTTGGGATTGTAAAAACTCTTGACGGATTTGACGTGACCATTACCAATAATTTCAGCAGATTTTTCCAAGTGTTGTTCTGGAAGATCGGCTGTGAATCTAAGCTCGCTGATATGGGCACCTTTTGAACATTGTTTTTGAAGGGCAATTTTGTATGAGATATGGTGTACAAGTCATTTTTGAAAACATGAGAATGTTTTCACTGACCTTGATCACTCGGTTTGAAACCATTTTCGATTTTGGTTGAGATACGGCCTAGTGCAGCATCTATACACAAACATCAGAAGTCAGCTTCAGACCAATTACAGTACCTTTGATGATTTCTCATAGGATCGAGTTTTACTACTCAAGTGAATTGTAAATGAAGGATTCACTTACTGTTTAGCGCAGGTTTACTTGAGCTTGTCAATTTAGATCCACGTGCAGCTTCAGTGGTTAGATCTCCGAGTATGGATGGAGTAGGTGTTGGAAGTGCCCCGTATTTCAAACTTAAAAGTGAAAGCGTCCAAAATAACACTTGAAAACTTGTACCTCCAACCCTTCGCGCTTTAAGTGGAAGCATAAGGGCTAATGAAAAAATCGAGGCTTGAAAATCGAATCCAATGGTTCTTGGTATGTTTCGCGGAGCGCCGGTGGTGTTGGTATGTTGGCAAAAGTAGCAACTGTAATTTTCAAAACTTAAACTTGAGGTGCTATATGCGTGGTTTTGAGTCAAAAGACGAAGTAGAAAAAATGTCCGCGTTCGGGGGAATTACTGATTCAGACCAAAAATTGTCTAGGGAGTGTTCTTGTTGAAAAAGAGACTGAAGATTGGAATAAGAGTTGTATAGAAAAGAAATTGATTGTCCTCCGCCGGAGCCTGATTGAATTCAAAAGAATGCGTTAAGGTAGGGTGATCTTGAAATATGTCAAAGAAAGTGAAAAATAAAATAAATATATCAAAATGATAATCCAAACAACTCAGCTCAAGAGATCGATAGCTTCATTTCAAAATATTCTCAGCGAGCCATCTTGATTAATTGTGAACACCGTTCAAGTCTCCGCCAGATCGCCGCTACTTGCAACGAAGTGATCACAAACAAATACTCGATCAAACAAAGCGGTCTCCACTCCATCAAACAAATAAACCTCCGAAAATCGATTTATATGTTGATGTTTAAAACGGGAATCAGACTTCGATGAAAACACTCTTACATACACTGAAAATGTTGGCACCTGTGGCCCGGTTGCACGGTTCCCCGGTTGCATCAAAAATTCAGAGCCAGAACTTTGCCACAGCTGCTGCGCGCAGCTAGACCAGTCAACCCTAAATTTGATCATTTGGAGGAGTGGATCATTATCCCCCCCACATGACATAACTGCCAGCAACACCATATCCTGCATCTAACATATGCCTGATTCTCACATCTGATCACCAAACATGAACCACTTAACTCATGTGAACCCAATCTTTGTGAATACAATGCAGGATCCCATTTGATTGTCTCCTGACCCATCTGATTCCAAAAAAAATTCAAAATGTGATATGTATGTCTACATTTCCTGTTCTTCATCTTTGTTGATCAATCGTGTTACTTCTTTTGACTCTTCTCAGAAGGAGAACTCAAAAAGCACAAAAACCAAACCAACACAAACCCCAGACAACCATGATCCCAGACTCCAAGTATATTTTGATTGTGAAATGTATGTTCCTAAGAACAAAAACAAAATCAGGATTCTTGCAAATAAAGTGCTTTGGTTGCAAGATCAAATGGAATCCAGATGACTTCCACTTGGATGCACTCAAGAATGAATGTGTAAAATGGGAAACAAGTGACAACTCAAAGCAATCCATCAGAGCAGTACTGAACCAGGAGGTACTTGATAAGAAGACTTTGAGTGTTTGAACTGCACATATCACTAAAATCTCTTCCTTCCCAAAGAGAAAGGTAAACCATCAGTTGTTAGACAATGGAAATATATGGGACTGGGTTCAGGAGGATTGGAAATCCAAAACAGAGGTTGGCCTCTTGTTTTTAGTTGCAAGCCCCGTCAGGGTGTAGGCACAAGCTGAGAAGGTAATTAATTTGTCCTCACCATTCTCAGATGGCCTGATTCACACTGAAACATTTTTAAAACACACAGGCTACCCAAAATAATGAGATTACTGCACAGGCTGAACATGAACAGAGCTTGGAGTAAATGTATAAGCAGTCTAGAATGAATAAAAATGGGGATGGTGAAGGCCATGTCAAGGTAAGTTTAGAAACCAAAATTGAAACTTTTTCTTTGAACTTACTAAGCCCAATGTCATCTTGACAGTCAATTTTCTTTTCTTTTCTGTATTCTGGCCTCTTTGAATTGTATTGTGAGCGTCAGATATGATTGTGTTTTTTTCTTTTTATTTTTGTTTTAACTTGTCTTGTGAGTGTCAAATCACTTGAAAGTGTCAACCAAACCACTTTGTGAACTATCTACCTTGGTTTTTAATACTCTCTCCCAAATGATATATCTTCAGAGATCAGCACTTTTTAAAATTGCAGTCCATCTTCTTTTGAACAAGCATAAGGAAGACAATCTAGACTGATTCAAATGTCTCTTTGAGACCTTTGATTTTTTTCTGCATTTGAATTTGCCAGTTTTAAGAGTCTTTCCCAATTGATTTGTGTCCAGAGATTTGCACTTGATAAAATTGCAGTTCATATTTTTTTGAACAAGCAGAAAGAAAACATTTTAGACTGATTTAAATGCCTCTATGACATTATTGCATTACTTTGTGCAGTGGAATTTGCCTTGGAATTTTTTTACAAAGCAAAATCAAGGGTTTCTCTTGATTCATTTGTATATGGAGATTGGCAATTGATTCCATTGCAGTTCATAATCACTGCCAAAAAAGATGCCTTAAATCTTCATATCTGAGGTATCCTTGGATGGCAACAACCTCAGACAAGTTTTCTGAGTAATTGATCCAAGGTTTCTTTTGGGGATAAATAGCCTCCAATCATTTCTTCAGACCCATAGTCTGATGTATGCAAGGATACCTCAGATGTTTGGATCTGGGGTATTGTCTTTTCTGTGCACATTTTTACAAGAAGCAGAACCTCTTTTCATGACACATTTCCCAAATTCAGTCATTCAATAGGAAATTTACCCACAACTTAAATGACAAGGAGAATTCAATGAAAAAAGAAGAAAGACCCTGTTGATGGCCAAAGATACATTCAAGCTTCTTCCACAAGCTCATCACCTGTCCAATGATTGCTTGAATCACTTACTAAAGCCACAATGATGGTGAAGCAGACACAATGAACTTCCAACAAATGTCTTACTTGCAATCTTGGTGATTTCTTTGACGGGGTTACCACTAATAGCTAAGACTTGAGACCTTTGACAATCAGATTTGAAGACATTGGGAATGAGCTCAATACAATTTAACTCTGGGGAGTACACAGGTAATTAATTTCAGGAGGACACCTATTTCATGAAACAAGTACCACAGTTCAGATTGTGGAAGCAGCACAAAAAAAGTGCTTTGCACAGAATGTTTCAAAAAATGGGGGTTGGCAGACCTTTTGGGGGGCACATATAAGATGGCATTGTATATATTACAACCTCCTACCTACCAATCCTGATCTGCCCAACATCTTACCTCAGTGCAAAGCCACAATTCCAGAAGACAAACAATTGAAGCCACAGCACTTGAGATCTCCAAGTTCATCAAAAAAATACATGTGGATTCCAGTTGGAAACAGCTGTAAAATACAATGGATAGGCTTCAAGATGTCTGAAGAACAAGATTCAACCAAGGGGTGACAGATGGCCTGATGAAAATATTGTCAGCAGATAATGGATGGGAAGCCTTCTTATCTTCTGGCCCACATGAGCTTCAAATGCAAACTTATACCAGCCAATAAGTTATCCAAATACTGGCCACTAATCAACAACGGCACCAACAACAAAAATAAGACACTACAGCCAGCATAAACTTCATGATCTGTTGCTCCTGTTGTCCCTCCTGAAGAAAAGATTGCTCTGAACTTTACAAAGAAAAACAACCATCACTTCATTGAACAAAGCAAGAAAGTGTACAAATATCTCAGGTCTCTGATAACAAGTCATATTCCATTTTCTTTCCTCCATAACAGGTATTTCAAACTCTTTCAAAGTGTGTTTTGGATGTCACATACAAGCCTCCCTCTAGACATATGATGATGGTTTGGATTATTCCCAAGCTTTGCACAAGGTGTGTAATTGAGATGCACCAAGATCTTAAACAACATAGTTGTCTTACAGTATCTTTAGATGGTTGGATTGATCTTGGAAGTAACAGTGTATATGCTGTCATCCTCTCACATGGAACTGAGTTCAAGCATGTTTTTGAGGCACTTGACATTCACCAGAATCAACACACCTCTGGAAAACTTGGTCTCAGCACTCAATGAAACCCTGGCACAATCTGACATTAATTGGGATCAGATCAATGCAGTTGTTACTGACTTGCCATCTTCAGTGGTTAATTTTTGAGTCATTACTTTTCTTTTTCTTTTTGACAATTCCTTGCCTTTTAGAATTTGTCTTTGATCTTTAATTGTTACTACACTTTAGTCTCTAATTAACAAAGCTCACCCACACTTTATTGGATTAGCACGTGTCTTACACACATTCAACAACCTTGCAAAGGACATACTCAGTCATCCACTTATGGTACAAGCTGTAAATTCAAATAAAAAAACATAGTTAATTACTTCAATTCATGCGCATTCTTTAGCAAACACTTAGCTTCTTGGAGGAAGGAATATGCATGAACTGGGATGTCTGAAATGTTTTGAGATGGCTGATGACCACTTGATATCAAATGCAAGCATGCAAACCAAATTTTGGAACATCACTCATACTCACAACCAATTCACTGCAAATAAAGCTCTTGTAATCTTCCTCAAACCAGTAGTTGACACATTGGCTTGTCTAGAACATGTCACAGCCTCTGTTGGTGACATATGGAAGGATATCTTAGGTTTCCACTTATGTATCAGCAAGATCAATGTGTCTGTCTGGCCAAACTATATAAATTTTTAGAAAACAATGTCTCTCATATATTGATAAACAAGCCAAAGACACAATGAACCAATCTACATTATTGCATTGCTGTATTGGAAGAGTATTCAATTAAGGTTGTCAAGAAAATTGTTGATACATTAGCTCAACTATGGGAATACTCAACGGCAGACTGTAATAATTTGAAGAATCAAGTGCAACTCTACCTCAATGGGACAGGTCTTTTTCCTAGTAAAAATACTTGTCAGTTGTTGTCATTTTATTTTGGTCCTACTTCTAGTGCAACTGATTTCTTTCTTCTCAGATGAATGTGCACTTAATTACTGGCTCAATCTACATTCAACTCTCCAAACCACTCAACTCAATACTTTTGCAATGAAGTACTTGATCTCACTCCCAGCAAAAGGTAATTTTCCCAAGGAAAAAATGATTACATTTAATGCATTTTTAATCAAAAATGCTCATTTAATGCCGAATAATGCTGATTTAATGCTGATTTAATGCTGATCAACTGCATTTTCAATCATTTTTTGCTCTAAATGTATTCATTTTTTACTTGGGAAAATCACTTCATCCTGGTAGTGTCTTGTAGCCCATGCAGGCTAAGTCAAAAGCTTGTTTTTGGACCTGGGGGCAGCAAAGACCAAAGACAATCACAAATAACCAATATTAATTTAACTATGATTTCACAGGTTGGACTCTCATTGCTAATTCAAACTGAACCTATGGAACCCAGTGCAGTTACAAAAATCAAAGTTGTCAAAGACAGTCTGGAGGACTT